AGATATGATGAAAAACTTGATGTTTAAGTGCTCAAAGCCATGTGGAGAGAAGTGAAGAGCACAGATTTATAAAACTCCGTATCAAAGCTATTTTAGTTTCATCTTTAAGAGCCGCTAATACAATTCATGGAATTCGCTGAAGCTTATCAAATTTGTTCCAGATCTCACGGGAACTCACGAGGGATAAACAGAAACTTCCTGACTGTTTTTACGGTCTTGCAATTAGGATTCTTCCTGAACTGGGACAACATATTTTAACAACCCATAGAAATCTCTTTTATTGCTAACTTTTATAGTCACCTTCTATACGCATGTGTGTATGTTTTTGAACAGCGTGTTCATTTGTGGGCCAATTAAGCCCTGTATTATTTTCATACAAAATGGGTAGACGTGCATAATGCTGCTAATAGAAAGCAAGAACATGACGTCATAGCTGGATTTAGATCCATTTTCATGAGACAAGCAAGTTCTCACCATGCTTCGGGAACAGGCCACATGACAGAGGAAAAAGTGCAGAGATTCAGGTCTGTTTTATATTAAATAAAAAAATAAGGCAAGACTGAATTAGGGAGCTATAATCCCATCCCAGGGGTTATGACGAATGTATAGTTCATTAGGGCTGATTCAGCAAGGCACCTGAACAAATGCTCAAGTCCCATTGCAGTCAATCAGCAGAAGTCCCCTGGAACCTCTGAATGTAGCCCTTATTTTAATTCTGGAGATATCATGTATTTTGCCAATTTTGGAATATTTACAGCTCTACAAGCCCCTGTCTAAGGGGAAATTATCACATTTCATCTTCTGCACAAAGGGCAAGAACTTGCTGAATCTGATTTGTTTACATAGTTCCAAGCACATGAAGACAATAATCCCAGCAGTTGCTTTTGAAGGTAAAAGAATGTAAATATTGTGTAAAGACAGGAAAACCTATAAAGTATGTTCATTGCCTTACCAGTCCTTTTATTCAAAGCAAGGAAAAAACTAAGCAGCTGTGGAATTATTTCCCTTGCTATTTTCTTTATAGCTTGTTTTCCCACTGGCATTTGGAGAAGGAAGAATAAAAGTTCTAGTATGACGCAGCGTCCATTCCTTCTAGGCTGCTGACATGGAAAAACATCTATTTTTATAGGAAACCCAAAAAACCCCCAATGACTGGAAAATTTAACTTTCCTGCCCATCAGGAAACCAAACCCAACATTTGATTTGATTTGATTTGAAATTGATACAGCCAATACGGGCTTTTTAAAGACACAAATCATGGAGCAGAATCCCATTTTGGCACACTGCCTAGAGATCTGTTACATAAACAGCTGCCCCAGGGAACACACACTGCCTTAACACTGCCCTGCAGATAGGGAAAATAGTAAATCTCACACCGTACTCTTGCATCTTTCTTTTTCCTCTTTGCCTGGAAGATGGGCAGCTGACATACAGAAGACTGGTTTCCTGCAGATTTGTTTCCCAAAGCTGAGGCTAAGGGGGTTTTCTTGGTGCCTAACAAGGCAGGATCTCTTCCTAAAGCTTTTTTGTCAGTAAATTTCTTCACTCATCATATTATTCCTCCATTATTTAACAGGAATTTGCTACAGGAATTTGCGGGTATTTTATATCGTTGAAGCCTCCACTCCTTTATTATTTGATCAGTGAGTTGAAGTTACCAAAGGCACAGAAGATCTGATGCACATACAAAAAGTATGATCACTTAAGTCACCTCCTTAGAATATAAAGAGACCTGAAAGGTGTTAGACTTCTCTGCTTCTTTAGGGTAAGAGAAGATATAGGGAGAAAAAAAAAATCACTAAGAGATTGGTTGACTCTGTTGTGTGTTGTTTTGTTTGTTTTAAACTGAAATAAGGCTTGAGATCACTCATGAGCACTCAAACAAGGTATGTGGCAATGCTCCCCATGAAACTGTTAGTGAATTTCAGAGGGGAATTTCAACATCTTCTCACAGAAGCATGTAAGGGGTTTTCCCTGGTAGAATTTGCTGGAGATTATTTGCTTTAACTTTCAAATTAAGAGATTTAATAAGTGGTATAAAGCTGTTCACAGCCTGCCTGTTCCCAGCAGCACAAAATATTGCTCTGCAGTATTTTGGAGTGAGATTTTATATACGGAAGGCTATATATGATATTTACAACATCTTCTTTTAGGTGTGTTGCTCTTGGTTACCCAAAGTTGGAGGCAGTAAACCTACGCTCATTAGAGTTGGCAGAAAAGCTCTTCTAGAGGCTGTGCAGAAAAAAACCTCTGCTCTCTTGTCTTACTCTTGCTCTTACAAGAACACGAAGCTCCTTGCACAGTGACCTGAATTAGGTGTCTGAGGAGGGTGGTCTGAATGTTCCTTGCTCTCAAAATATTTTGAGAGTATATCATATTTTTCCTACAGACCAGATCACTGTAATTATGTTGGAGAAAGCTATTTTAGTTCCTGAAACCATACCTGCATAGCTGCAGTTGTCTTCAGTAAACCAGAGACTAATAAAGCCATGGCTGCCCATAGCTGAGGCAGTTCAAACATGCCTGTCTCTTCTCCCTTGACCTTCATCCATCCTTCCAGCTGTATCAGGCTAAGTTAATCCCTCATAACATAACTGTGATTTTACTGTAGTAAAACCAAACTAGTGCAGTTGCATTAGGAAAAAAAAAGTCTTAACAACTTAAGTAACCATAGAAGTACATCTCTGTGTCATTGTGCAAAACCAAGTGTGAAAGGGAATTAACTGCCCATGGCTGAATTTGGATAATGCTGTTTCACATTACAGACTTTGCAAATAATTTCTAAACTCAGCAGACTCGGCTTCCATGGCAATAAAGTATTGTGCTGATAATGTATATTACTACTTCATCTTACAATTCAGTAGCAATAAACCACAAGAGGAAAAATCACAGAATGTATTTTCAGCTTATTGTACTTGGCTAGCAGAATCAAACCTCTTCCTTTACCATGGTTTTAAATATTTATCAGTTGTAACATAAGCTATTTGTCCCAAACTGAAAACATGATAGTCTTACAACAGAACTTTGCTCATTCACACAACTTTTCTGAGAGTAGCAGGCAAATAGCTAACCCTCCTACAAGACAACAAGCCTACAGATCTGCACGTTATTAGGTTTACACTCAGCAATGGCAAAAAGCCTGTCGCTCTAAGTAAAAGTTAGTATCAGCAGTTTTACAGCTTCAAATATTTTAAGATAAATCAAAGAGTTTCATTATTAGCAATAACTGCTATTAGAACATAGTCAAGGAAAGACAGTTTGGCACACAGACACCCATCCATACAAACCCTGCACGCTTAACCCATTATGGTCTCCGTCACGAAGAAAGAAAGATAAGTCAGTAACACAAGCTATGCAACATTTTGCCCGCTCATTTTTCCTGTATTAGATAAACACCTACTACACTACTATACTTACATTTATTAACTTTCAACTTCCTTCCATCTACTGGAATTGGATCTATGTAATCCCAGTAATATTCATAAGACCAGAAGTACTCAGATGAGTTTGTTCTGTTGGCCATGTCAGTAGTGCATTTTAAATCAGCTTCAACCAAATACTTTTTTTCATTGTACTTGAGCGCCCTCAGAAAGAGACTGTGTAACTGATGCCTGTGTAAACCACTCTGGAGTCCTGTAGCTCAAGGACTGCCTTGGTACTAAAATGGGTTGAGCAAAAATGAATATTAATGTCTGACAGATAAGTAGTAGCAGCCTTTAAACGTAACCCTTGCTTCCTGGTGGGCAGTTACATTATTCCACAGCATATCAGAACTGAGATGGATGCCAAGTAAGCTAAGAAAGGGATGGACAGATGCCAGATGTGTCACAAACCCTTCTCTCTGAGAGTCCAGCTGCAATGAAGTGTTCTCTGGAGCTATTGGAAAAAGCCAGGCTGAAGGAAATCTCTTCCTACTGGCATAAAGAAGGGGGCAAGTACCTGACAAAATGCATCATAGACAGAGGATGCAACAAAGCTGATGAAAAGTCTGGAGAATAAATCATAACAGGGAGTGGCTGAGGGAGCTGAGGTCGTTCAGCCTGAAGGTCAGGGGAGATCTCATTGCTCTCTACAACTGCCTGAAAAGAGGCTGTAGCGAGGTGGGAGACAGCCTCTTCTCCCAGGTAACAGTGATGAGAGGAAATGGCCTCAAATTGTGCCATGGGAGATTTCAGGTTGGGTATTAGAAAGAATTTCTTCTGTGAAAGAGTGGTGAGCAGGCTGCCCAGGGAGGTGGTGCAGTCACCGTCCCTGAGGTGTTCAGGAGCCGTGTGGATGTGGCACTGAGGGACGTGGGCAGTGGGCGTGGGGGGGTGGGCTGGTGGTTGGACTGGGGGATCTTAGAGATCTTTTCTAGTCTTCATGATTTCATGGTCTTGCATTTTGCTTTGCTGCTTCCTCGTTCCTTGCACCCCAAAGGCAATGGATGGAAGAGCTGCCTCCCAGCCATGATATAGGCAGAGCCAGCTGAAGGTCTGTGGTGTTGGGCCCTAGCAGCATAGCAAGTGGATACCTGTGTGCGTGCTTAAGCAATGACAGCAGGCCCTCAGCTGGCTTTTGGCTGCATCCCTAAAACCTTCAGAGTGCGTTGTGGCTGGGGAAGCCAGGGCTGCATCCCACGGCTCACAGCGCAAAGACAGGGCTCAGCAAGGCACCGTCCCAACCACGAGTAAAGGTGCTTGGGCACAGCACAAAAAGCACCAGTTTGGTTAAAAACAGCTTTGAAACCATCCGTCGCCAGCTCCTCTTTGCCCCCTAAGCGCTACGGCAATTCAAACCCCTCCTAACGCGCTCCTGTAGGCGTTACGGAAGCAGGGCATTGAGACAAACCAGCGCAGAAACAAAACCCGCCACCTCCTACGTCTACCCTAGGAGCGTAACTACGCTGGGTGCGGAGCCACAAACCCAACCCCACCCCCTGCTACGCTAGCAGCGTATCTACGGCGGGGGCGTGGGCACGCACGGAACCCCGCCCCACGGACGTAACGTATGGAAGCGCTTCCGCTTCCGCCGCGGGCAGTTTGAAGGAAATGGCGGGTTTGCTTTATCCGTTGTCAGGTGGTGCAGTCGGGGTGGATTCGTCTTTGTCGTTGCTAGAGGGGACCATCCCGCGAGATGCGTTGCCGCTGGAGCGGCCGCGGGCGAGCGGGAAGGATGAGGAAGAGGAAAACGACGAGAACCTGCCCATGGTTTTCCTGTGCGGCGGTTGCAAGCGGCCCGTGGGCGATACGCTGAGCTGGGTGGCCAACGACGAGGAGACGGAGTGCATTCTCCTGCGCAGTGAGTGCCGCTCCCACGGCCTGTCCCGCACGGCGGCTGTTGGGGGCCCTTGGTTAACTTTGCCTCTGCACAGGTGCCTCCAGCAACGTCTCGGTGGACAAGGAGCAGAAGCTGTCCAAGAGGCCTGGAGAGTGTGGATGGTGAGCGCTCTTAAGACCACATGAAATATAGATGAAATATATGTGTGTATATATATATATATATTTAATAAGGGTGGGGAGGAGTGGTTTTTCTCTCTTTGTTCCTTGTATTGTTGTTTTTTGTTTTTTCTAAAGCATGATTGAAACGTTTTTCTGCTCTGGCTGCTCAATGACACTTGGCAGTATCTACAGATGCACCCCAAAACATCTCGACTACAAGAGGGATTTGTTTTGTTTCAACGTTGATGCGATTGAAAGGTAAAGACAGAATCTATGTTGCTGCCAGGTTAATCTCACCCTCCAGCACTGTATCAAGGGATGTTGCTGCTAACAGTCTGAGCAAGTTCCCTATAACAGGTAGCTTTGAGTATCTCTGGAGGAGACTCCACAGCCCCTCTGGGCAGTTCATTCTAGTAGTCGGTCACCCTCACAGTAAGAAGCTTTTTCTCATGTTTGTATGGAACATCCTGTTTTCCGGTTTGTGCCTCTTGCCCTCCTGATAGGGCCAGGCTCTTTTCAATGGTGCCCAACTGCTTGACTCCACTCTTTAGGTATTTTCAAGCTTTGATGAGATGGATCCTCTCTCAGAGTTCTCTTCTCCAGGCTGAATAGTCCTAGGTTTCTCGGCATTTTCTCACAAGAGAGATGCTCCAGGCCCTTCATCATCTTTGTGGCCCATACCTGAAACAACAAAATTGTTCTTTCTCATTTTCTCAGAAGAGTATACACGTTTCTGCTTTAGACAACAGAAAATGAGCCTGTGGTGATGGGTCATTACCTGCAGCCTGCTGTCTGTCTACAGTCATAGATAATACCAGAGGTATCTGACTTCAGTCTAGTAGAAGTGCACTTAATAAGCAGAGAACAAAGGAGTTTGCACAGAATTTAGAGGTCTGTATGGGCTGGTATTCCTCTTCCTTATGAAGCAAGTAAAAATAAATCTTAAAACAGTTAAGTAAGAGTACGCATTCAGTTTTATGGACAAAAACTTTCTAGAAAATGGAGGTCTGGCTTATATTGGTTTTTTTTCTGGTTTATTGCACTTGAAACTGGTCTTAAACAGTTCTTCAATGTTTCAGGATGTTGTTAAGTCTCCACGTCAGAGTTCTTTCTCATTTTAAGAAATAAAAAGTTTACTTTAAAAAATTGCTTAAGAGTAATCTTAGAGATTCTGTGGAAGATTTTAAGTATCCAGATTTAAGTATCTTAGCTACTTTTACTTCCATGTGGGCTAGTTTTAGTGTTTCTGCTGTTTTATGAATCATAGAATTGCTCATGTTGGAAAAGACCTTAAAGATTATCAAGTCCTACCATAACCTAACCACCTAACAACCCTCCACTAAATCATGTCCCTGAGCACCACATTCGAACAGTTTTTAGCCTGTTCTGCTGTACCTACATGGGTGTTTTTCTTTCCTACTCTGAACAGTTTTTTCCTCTTTACACAGCTAAGTACTTTGTTTTTTGATGGCAGTAAAAGTCTCTGGAAGGCTATAACAGGGCTGCAAAGTGGCATGGTCTTGGAGTAGTGATGATATCTAACTCTCCCAGCTAGTGCTACACTAATCTCAATGTCTGAATATATTTTTGTTGTATCCCGTAGTACCAGAACATGACTAACTTTTGGAGCTTCAACTATATAAAGCAATGACATCTTGGTTGTTTAGAGCTCAAAGTTGTTTAAGTTCCACCATGCAGCTCATTTGCAAGATTACTAAAAATAGGGTTGTGTTGTTGCTGAAATAGTGCTTTGACTGTGCTAATTAATACACATTAATTGCAATCTTATCAAGAGTGGTGGATGAATCATACAGATGTTCTTTTGCCTTCAGAGTGAAAAGTACATCATCTAAACTGTAGCATATCAGTTACATTCTAGGATCCTCAGAAAAGCAGGCTGTTACTGATGAGGAACCTTTAACTCTTGAAAGTCGAGCTGCCTTGGAAGAAGCACTAAAAAGGGTAATGCTTAATCTTGCATTGTTTCCATGACATCTATACTTGTTCTTTATATTGTACATCTGTTTCTAATCAAGTATCTTTCCCCATTCCCCACTTACTTCACAGGCAAACACCATACTAAATGCTCTGGAGGCAAGACTGGCTACTGTTGAATCAAGAATTGATTCTCTTCACAGTAAAGCTTGAAAGAAAATTCTTTGTGTAAAATAACTGCTGGAGGTTGATGTGTGTGGAACTCTGGAATCTGTGGGAATATTTTAAAAGCTGTGCGAAGATCTGGAAGATGTGGGCGGTTTGTGCTGCAGTAGGACAATGCCAGCTACTGAGTCTTTGTCACAGATGAGGAGTTCCCTTTTTGTCTTAAAAAATTAGCCTGGGAACAAAAAGACTTCTAAAAAATAATGTTTCTGTAGATTTCTTGTTTATATGTAAATATTTAATATCTTTTTTACCTTGGAAAGCAAAGTTGTCCTGTGGTTTAATATATGCTGAACTGAGTTTGTATCTCTTTCCTAAACCAATTAGGGGGAAAACACAAAAACAACAACAACAAAAAAAACCAACACCCCACCCCATGAATTCTGCTGTGGGAGCAAAATATGTCACTTTCTTGTCCCCATGGCTGTTATTTTAGCTGTTTGGACAGAAATGTCACAGTAACTTTTTTTTTTTTTTTTTTTTTTTGCAAGCTCAAGGCTAAAATGAAATGACTGTAAAGAAGGCTTCAAAAGCATCAGCTACAATGGCTTTCTGTGCAATATTGAGAGTCGTGTGTGAGAACCTCAAAGAGGAGAATAAAAAAGGCTAGTAGCAGAACACCTTTTAATCAAAGTTAGGTGCATATGTGAACAAAGAATTCTGTGCTGTTTAGGAAACTTCTGTCAATATGTTGTTAATATGTAGATCTTTCTGTTATGGTTTACTATATGTTTTTTTTTCCAACATTGTGGGGTTTTTTTTCCCAGTAAATCAAAGCAAGCAATAATTGTGTAAGGGAAAAATCTTTTGATTTCTGTTGGAAATGGAATGGAATCTGTATTCCATGGCCCAATGCTATTTAATTGTATTACTACTAATTTTTTTAGCAGTCTCCAGAAACTTGGAATGAATTTTCCCACTACTCTTCCTATTGGTAACTACGATTTCCTCCTGGGAGCTTTCTTATTTTCTGCTGCACCCTTCCCACCTCCTCTTCTCCTTTTCTTTATCTACAGTTTTGTTTTAAAGTAGCATGCAGTTTGGCCTGTTGTGGTTGTCTTGGAGTGTTTCACGTTCAAGCAACTAAAACACTGTTATATGCATGGCTGCGGAGGTATTACGTACTTATTCTGTCTGAATTACAAGTGTGTTGGGGGTGACAGACTGAGTAACCTAACAGTAGTCAACCTTCACATGGTGTCCAAGTAGGCCCTTGTGTTTAATTACATTAAACATACAAGTAACAATTTTAATTCTACCCTAGATTCAGAGAGACAAGTTTATTGGCCTCAAGTAGCAGCTGTAGACATATTCCTCCATTTAAATATTTGAGAGCAGCTAATTGTAGTTCAGAGCTATTCCCTAAACAGTTTCGTCACCTGAGTGTCTTCAGTGATTTTAATTTGTAATACTCTACATAGCTACCATGTGTAGCAGGAGTAAAATGTGTCTGCAAGCAAGCATTAAAAGTAAGAGGTGATTGCTTATCTTATGGTAAGCACCTAAATTTCATAACCATCCATCTTATTTAGCTACTAAGAGAAAAAACACCTGCTGCTGGAGGAATCAGAAAAGTAGAATGCCAGCAGTAGGTCCCTCAAATTGCAGGCAGAAGTGACCACCTAGCCCAGATTAGTTTCTGCCATGAAACATAGGTAACACATTTTTAAAATGTGTTAAATAACAGTAAACTAAGATGAGATACAGTTTTCCATCTTTCATAAACTACCTGCCATTGGCTACACTGTATATTTAGTGTCTTCGAGCACATTGTAGGTGGGAGCTCTAGCACTTCAGCGCATAGACACTTAAAATAGGTCTATGCTCTCAAGAGTTACAAGCTGCCACTTTGCTAAGGTGTGCAATGAACGGGCTAAATTTGGAATAAATTTCATACAAAGAGCTGTGTACATCTGCATGGGGAAATGTGTGTGTTGGGGGTGTATATGAAATAATCTTTATTTTTGCAGTGGAGTTCAATTGGGAATTGTTATCTGGAGTGCTTAATTGGGTGAAGATGATTAGACTGATTGATTGCTTGTTTGTTGAAATATATAAATATCTACTGTGATACGTTTGAATAGTTTTAAATGTTAATAAAAGCTGTTGTTCCCTAAACAACTGAAGTTAGTAATAAAGTTCTAACGTGCCAATATGATAAACAGGCACACAGTCATGTAAAAGGTATTGTTTTTCGCTTAATAAGCAGTCTCCATTACTGCTGGTAGTTCCTTCTCTGCTCAGTTTCAACCTTTGAACGCAGGGTAGTTTAACTCTGGGGGTTCTGCATGCTCCGTGGTCCATTTACTTATCCCAGACACCTTGCACACTGTGCAGTGGGAGGGAATGTACTGCCTTGTTTAGTGATAACTTTTACCCTGTGTGCAGTTAATATTTAGTGCATGTACAGCAGTACTTCATAGCTCTCTATATGCTCTTAAGTGAGGGAAAGTAATACAAAATGCATGTCTTCTGGAGGTTAAAAACTGAGGTTTTAGTTAATACCCCTGATTCGAACTTTGAGACATGTTTTGTAATTTGGAAATAAAAAAAGTAACAAGTAAATCTTTGTTTATGGAGTTCACTAGGAGGGAAGGGATGAGAGTGGGGCAATAGTAAGTGCTTCATGGAATTGTTGATTGAAGAATGCGTATGCTAAAAGATCTTGGTATGTTTAGGAAAGATGAAAGCTAGGAATTAGCTTAGGTGAGACTGAAGTTACTATAAGCTGTGTTTGATGGGACAAATGGGAAACAGAAAGCTGAACTGTATCGTAGGGAATAGGTCTGTCCAGTAAAGTGAGCAGGTCAGAAACAGTCGGAAACACTTTAATAACTGAAACTGTGGGTGTCCAACCTTTTGGCTTGCCTGGACCATATTGAGGGAGGAGGAATTGTCTTGGGACGCATGTAAAATGTATGATATAGTTGATGGATATAAATAACAAAGCTTCTTCTAAAAATATATCAATTTTATTAGAATAGAAAAAAAAAGGGGGGTGGGGGGAACATCCAACATTAAACTAGTGGGATACTTGACCTTGTTTTTGTGAAAATGACGTACCAGTGTCCTCTTTGATGGCAGTGGTTGCAACTCTTAATGAGTGTTCTGGGTCTTTGTCAGAGATTTTTGATCTAATTTTGTTCTTTCCTTGAAAACTGTTGTTCACAAATGGGCCAAAAAAAGTGATGACATGAATAAGGCACGCTTGTGAAGTGAGGGATATTTTTCTGTGGTCTTACAAGAAATTTAGAAAAGAGAGGTGATCAGATTTTTGAGTTGAATGTTTGATTGTGAATCTATACAGTCTATTTGAAAACCTGCAGGTAATGTACTTATGTTGACTGATAGGGAGTTGCAATTATACAACTATGCAATTATGTATTAAATCTCAGAATTATTCTTTCATATTTCTTCATTAGAATGGAAAGCACAGCTGCATACTTTTCCCTGTTTACAGGACTGTGTTTAACCAACATATCAAAATCCATGCAGTTATTTGCCATCACTTTCACATGCCATAATTTTAAGTTTCATTTTGAATGCTTTCGTGGTTTGAGACATAGCACAGGTAAGATTTTCACCTTGACACATGTTTAACTCATTTAAACAAGCAGAAAAATCCACCAGTTTTTCTGACCAACAGTAATTGTAGTTCTTGATTTTAGGAGAAGTCCGAAAGGTGACGGTCCCAGAATTCTGGCAATTGAATAACTTTTGGTAACAAAAACAGTAGAAATGGTGAGTAGGGAATGAGCAGAAACTAGTGTTCTTGTCTAACATGATTTCTTCTCTAAACAGGGTTTGGGGGAAAGTGTGGGGAACATTTAGGTACATGCTGCATGGCAAGATGCAGTAGAGCAGATGTCCAGAGACTCTATCTGCGGGCCGAAAACAGTGATTGGTGCTGTTAAGCTTAAAGGTCCATGGATACGACCTGAGTTTTGTGGAAAAAAAGAGCAAGAGAATGAGAAAAGTAAATGGATGAGAAGACACATGGAAAGATAAGTGTGAGTGCAAAAAAGAAATTTACTCAAGGTTGGTGGGAATTTTTCTAGGGAGAGGAAAATTAGTGTGGCTGATTGCAGGCTGGGGAACTGAGATGAAGGTGGAGGAACTTCTATGGCTGTAGTCTGAGTGCTCATGAGGAAGGAGAAGTCTCTTGACTAAGGTTTCTAGATCAAGGGGCTAGGGTCCATGTGTTTGCCACAAGCAGGCTTCTTTCCTGACTAAAGGTGGTATCTACATTTAGAGACCTGAGGTGAATGTGTAATGAGCTATATGGCAGGAACCTCTAGCTCCCTAATGCCCTCTAGTTTATCCCCACTTTGTTTTTGAGAAGCTATTAGTTGGAAAGCCATCTGCATCTAATGACTCTTCTTCCCCTGTTAAGATGGAGAAAAAGCCTGAAGTGTAGGAAATATGACAAATCAGGAGGAACAGAAGGTAAAGAGAGAACTGGCACATCATATCCTGACAGGAAAGCTGAATATTGTGGGAGTGAGCAGGATGAAAATAGATGTGTGGATTCTAAAGGGAGCAAAGCACCTGAATTGGTTTTGTTTCAGAGAAATTTGAACATCAGATTCCTTTAGGTTCTGCGTACACAGGCAAACTGACTGATACAGTTACTAGAGACTAAAGTGCCACAGTGGATTATTTACTGAATGAAATACATTTTATTCTTACAAAATGCATTCTTACACTCTTACAAAACAAGCACTGTAGCATAGATATGTGTCAAGTTTTAAAAAAAAAAAAAAAAAAAAAAAAAAAAGTGGCAGACCTTTGAGAACCCTCCAGGGAAAGAAAGTATAATCCATGGTTGAAAAGAAGCAGCCAGAGAACTACTCAGTGAAAATTCTTAGTGAAAAAAAAATAAACAAGCAAAATAAGCTAAGCGCTGGTAAATTTTTACTCAACATCCATATGATCTACAAGAGCTTAGAATGACACTCAGACTGAATACTTAGAATGAACACTTGCTGTATTTTACATGGAGCCATGAATTGGAATGTATTGTTACTGTAATTAATGCTTTATCAAACTACACCAAATAGTAGCAAGCAACTATCACTAGTCAGATTTCAGTAACATCAGCACTTGCTGTTCAAAGTTTCCAATCACTGCATATTTCTATAATTAAACAATTGAACCTATGTATAATCAAATAATATTAGGATGTTATAATCACAAAATAAACAAGAGAGTTAGGCAAAGTAGACTATGATAACAAAAGAGAATAAATAGAAGGCTTACCCCTATCCCAGGCTCACCCACAAAACACCAGCAGAGGCAACCTCCAGAAGAGATCCTTCCCCACTGCTAGCCAGCTCTTAAATAGGTCTAGGAGAGGTGAAACCAGGCTGCACCCCTTCTGGCATCACAGCTGAATTGCCTTCACCTGTGCTCCTCTGGCTGACTCACTGCTTGCCTCAGGTGATCAGAGGTTCAGGCTGTGACTCAGCAGTTCCCATACACTCCACCCCTTCACAGCATGAACCAATGATCAGGTTAACTAAAGGGTAAGCTTTCCCTAATACAGAGATCCGCTGTATCGTGATGCTTATACAATTTTTATTGTGACGTGCGTTGGTACAATTCAAGACTAGTGATGATCAGTGAATGTCCATATTCTTCTATGGGCCAGTGCTCGATGATGTGACTGGAGGCATGAGGTCCTGAGGTGCAGGTCCATTTTATGTTCCATCAGTCCCATCCAGACCATCATCCGGGTGTTGTACGTGATCTGACAGCAACACTGGAACGCTTGATGGCATTTTGTTCCTTCTGGTGGTCCTGAAGGCTCACAGACTCACAGGGAGTAATACAGATGTCTCACAGGTACCAGGAGGGGAAGGTCTGCTCTCCAGGGCAAGATACACGCCGTATTTCTATCCTGGGTCTACACTTCTGTTTGTACTGGGGCATGTCCTGGCTGCCTGTACCACACCTTCTGGCCAGATGCCTGCGGCTGTACCTATTACTGGAGGGACTCCTGAGCCTCCCACCTCCAACAATCTCCCCCAAGGTGCAAGTAGGCCACACCACTTGGGTCCTACCTGCACCTTCCAGGGTCATTTTATTTTATGGGTACCCGGATCTAAGTTCTCAGGGGCAGGGAGCAGAGTATTATTTTCATTACCAATCTGGGGTCTTACCTGATGATCAGTGCCTGTAATTTGGATCCTAAGCAGGGTGGCTCATGTCGTCTGCAACATTCTCAGGGCACTGGGTCTGCCGTCTCAGGGTCTTTCATTCAGGTCCCACAGGGTTTCATACAGTCTTTTTGTCCACCCCTGCAATGACAGGGAGTCTGTCTTCAGGGCAGCCTTAAGAATACCATTATAATGTTCAATGAGGCCTGCCTCCATTGGATTATACGGCAGGTGGAATCACCATTTGATGTTATTTTCTTCTGCCCAGTGCTGTATCATTGCACCAGTAAAATGAGTCTGGGCAGGGGGCCACTGATCAGGCAGCACCCCTGCTAGTTGGTCCTGCACTTTTTGTTTCCTGGGTTATGACAGGACAGACTTCTAGTGGATCAGTCAGAATTGGATATTCAAGATCCAATTTGGATTTTTTATTTTCCTGATCAACGAAGTCTGTTGATTCAGGAGTGTGGTCATTGTTTATTGAAGTGTTACGAACTTGGCCTATGGGAAGATGTAGAAATGGCTTCTTCCTTGTTAATGTGCAAAGTTCTTTCTCTAGTTTTTCAGTAGGGTCTTTCAAAAGTTGATTTTCATTCTCTAGAGTATTATTTCTTATTTCCGCATGATTTAAAGCACTTAATAGTGGCCATGCCACCATGGAGGCAGCCAGTTGTCTTTCTTTAGAGATCAGCACATCCATGCTAAGTCCCTGAAAGTAATCCGCCATGCGATATGGGGAGATATTGCCCATAATGCGTAAGGGACCCCATTTTTCAATGATAACCGCTAGCTCATAACAGGGGGATCCCTCAAATCCTGGGATCTGCCCTGGAATCATTTTCTCTAGAGGAGTATTGTTCTCCCACTTGACCCATTTATAGAAATTCTAAAGAAAAGACATGATGTTAATTTTAGTATATTTGGCCTGCCTGGCTCGCCAAGTGTATAATCAAAGAATAT